GATGTGGCAGAAGAAGCACGAGAGTAAAATAAATGCTGTAGAAATGCGGTCATTAAGGAGTATGTTAGGGATGAATCTAAATGACAGAATGAGAAATTGTGTGATAAGAGAAGAGTGTGGTTTGCAAGATGATGTTGTGACCAGGATTAAGAAAGGAATGCTTCGAGTGGTTTGGTCATGTAGAAAGAATGAATGAGGAAAGAGTGACAAAGCAAATTTATGTTGTAGATGTGAACGGCAGAGTCGGGAAGGGACGCCCTAGGCGAAAGTTTATCGACCAAATTGGCGATATATTGAAAATGGGCCAAATCAAGAATACCTTTAACCGACGAGCGTGTATGCGTAGGTATATTGATGTGAAGGAAGCGAGAGAGGTGTGTCAGGATCGTGCCAAATGGAAGTCCATAGTCTCTGCCTACCCCTCTGGGTGACAGGCGTGAGTGTTTATGTATGTATGTATGTACAATTGTACAACTGATTACTTTAGTTCGCAGTTATATCGCTTCGAAGTATTCGCTTTTATCGCCAATTCAACACTAACTCGGGGCGTGGTCTATACCAGCCTTATATAGGGCCTCAGATAATTCCAGAACCTTCTACTGTAGAAACATCTAGAATGTTTAAATACATACCGGGCTCGACTGATTAACTGTCGATAGTTCTAGAAAGTTCTTCCATGGAATTTTCTAGAAGGATCTTGACTCTCCTTGTTCTGCTACTCGATACTAGTAGGCGGTAGTGTTAACTAGTAGTCGCCATGTACCAGGCATTAATTGTGGCGCGCAACATTATCATACAGTCTTACTCCCTGTGGTATAGTATTAGGAACTCTGGCTGCGTTTCCTTGCTGAATGGCTATGGCTGAACGGCCTTTGAGCGAGAAAAGAACCAGGCATTTTACATTAAACATTATAGGACTAATAGAGCGAAACGTCTTGCGGGAATATTGTCCTACATTCATTTAAAATTTTATATAATTTTAGAAATTTAATGTCTGTTTGAGTAACTAATGTCAGTGCCAAACTAGAAATGATCTAAATTCGCTGTCTTAACTAAAGCAACTAAAAGCAACTAGAGGCAATTTGAGTAAACATGCAACTCCAGATAAGCCGTAAGCACTTTAGTCAATTATAACCTAAAGTCGGGTCTCAGCAATTTCGGTTACATTCTATTGTAATATACCTTAATTTATTTAGATGTTATAATTGTTAACAATTTATTTAGTTCGTAGTCGCATTTTGATTCAGTTACTATTATAATATAGCCCTTGCCAAGTGTGGTGATTATGACATATTATTCCTTCTTACAACGGGACAGACCTATTTTCAGCAGTGAACTGTTTCAAGCTGATAGAAAAGAAGAAAATGTATTGTATTCACAATAAAGGAATTAATAGGTTGCGACACTATTTGGAAGGTACAGCCGTGATCGAAATCTGCAAGAAAGATATCACTGCTAGAAGGTAACATTTGTGTTAAATATATTATAGCGTCAGCAGCTCCGTTATTTTTAATTTACATGCTGTAATAAACTTCGCAGTATGTTTTTGGCGACCAATGAAGGCGGCTGCAGTCACAGACAGCATACAAAAAAGTATCGCAGCATCGAAGATTGTTAAAAATCAATATAAAAGTCTTTGGGTATTCCTAAATCTTCTCGATTATTTGTTATCACTATTAGTATTTCATAGATGTAGGGCACACCTTCAAGATAAGGTTATCATAAAATTCTAATTATAATAAAAGTCATAGCAACACACATATAAACTGAAATAATATAGCTTTTATAAAACATAGCACATTTTAATTAAAATCCATTTAAAACTTCTTTATTCTTTGTCGTTGTGCTGCAAACGAGAAATGAGTTTTACGAAGTTTTTAATGGAATATTAAAATACTAAATGCAATGGTTATTGTAACTGATGAGAATAATAAGAAAAATCTGCATTCTTAATAATTGTTTTTATTTGTCATGGTTCTATATAGTATCTATTAACTTAGAAATTCTAACATTAACATAATAAAAGTTTAAGAACGAATTATATTTCTTCTTCATCACCCCCTTCCACGGCTGGACGTACAATTCTTCTAAACTATAACGTCAAATCCTTCCTGATTTATCATGGATTAAGAAACAAAATGCAAATGCGTTGTCACCCCTGAGGACTGCCATGGAATGCCTCATTTCCAGTTGAAAGGGTCTCCGGTTCTCTACACTCACCATACGAAACACAGCAACATTAAGGTAATATTCTTTAGAGCGTGGTCCTACCCCGGTGGAACCAAACCCATTCGTGCTACGAACATAACATAGCTGCAGCATGGGATGATGTTGGCTAAGGTTATCTATGGGAACTTACTCCTAGTGTACGATATTCCTAGTACATTTTTAGTTCGTAAAAAATCTAGTTCTGTATGACACTCCCCTAAGAATTTCTGTATTTTATTGCTACATGAAAATTTATTACATATAATTCTCGACAAATATATGTGCCAATTTAATAAATACGCTATAATATAGATTAATCTCCATGCTTGCGCTGAAATCCATCCGCGGAATATCTAATCACCTATTCAATGAAATTTCCTATTGAATGAAACTAAATACAAAATTCAGTTAATTTGATATTTTTTGAGCAAATTGTTAATATTAAAAGTCATAACAGCCCCACAAAATCTTTAGTATTTATAATTTGAATTTGAAAGAAATCTAAATTCTTTCGAACTCAGTAAGTACTGCAACACATTTAAAACTAAAAGCTCTCTTCTTCAAATCGGAATAACAAAATAAAAATAATCTTCACTCTTTTAAATGAACTTTGTAATCCATGCGAATACTTTTATCAATTTAAATGATCTTCCTGACAGTAAGACAAATGAGCTATTTTTTTTTTCAACTAGAGTATTCAAATTAAAATCTTGCTTACCAATAGGCACAAACCTAGTCCTTTTTTTTACTAAAAGACTCTTCTACATGAAAACTTACAAATCTTTAGCCACAGTTTTAATTTTAGAATCCTGTGGCAGATTTCGGCGGGTTAAAAGTCAATTTATTTTCTATAGAAGTAAGCGGATGCTGTGGTCCATAGATACCTACGTCTATAAAACCTCTCTAAGAATTGAGATGGATTGCCTTGGTACCAGTAAAAAGGCCAGCGGTTTACAATAGGAAACACGACAGCATTATGCTGCTGTTTCACGCTGGAGTGCTGTGCGAGCGTGGTCCTTCCTCGATTGAGCCATAATCACTGCAGCCTGCACTACCAGTTCAATATCTATAACGTCAAGTAAGGATAAATCAGTACTTACACTAACACTTGCAAGATGGTGTTTCCCAAAAGGCTGCCTGGCTACACCCACTACTGTGCACAAAGACAGTGAGGCATTTTGTCTATGTTTGTTTCAGATAACTATGGACTTTAGTAGCTACTTTACATCAGACGAACACACCGCCGCTTTATACCACATTTAGCAGACGGGTTGTCAATTGCAGTCTTTTATAATTATTAGTAGTTATCAGGATATAGGTATCTGTTGCCTCTTACGGTAGCTACGGGATGACAGTATACCCTTACACTGCCACTACACAGTGTATTATTCTTTAATAGTTAATTCAAAAACTACGCAGGATTTTGAAAATAATTTCGAAGTAAATTTCCATTAAACTCACTACCTGCAACGAGATTAAATAAAGGTTGATCTTGTAGCTTATTCTGTCAAGTTTCTGTAGGGTACCGCCGTAATTGTATTATAATTAGAGTCAAGCTTCTTGGAGATCATTTATTCTTTATTAAAATTTAATCTTAGTTAAGTTGCTTGTAAGGTCATAATTATCAGCCGCCGTTACTTAGAGTTAGTAAATATATGACAATATTATGATATGTATAATAACATTTGTTTACGTAAAACATGAATGTCTTATGGGATAAAATAATGATCGACATCATCGTAATTTAAGAAGAAGTAACAAAATTGATAATGGGAAATTTAGGTTAAAATCATTCATGGGGTAATACCAAGGCAATGCACACGAACATTTAATAAAATTCCTTATCATATTTTAAACCTTTCCGAAAGGAAATTCAAAAAACACATTAAAAAGTGTTTGTGCTCCAAAATTTACTAAAGTTTAAATAAATATTTTAATGACAAAGGAGTATGGAGCGGTGTTATTCCAGTTCGACACTAAGCCATATAAATTAATGACTTACTTATTTCTCTGCCCGCGGATCTATTAACACGTACAGTCTGTGACTCTCTAAACAAAAATCCAATTAAATAGTTCATATGGCGTTTTTCTTATTAAAATTAGTGTTAATACAAAGTTAAAGTTCACTCCTATAAACTAACGGTGAAAAAACACAACGAAAAGTGCTAAATCAAATGTGTGAAAAGTGCTAAATCAAGTATCATTAATGTATTTGTGAATTAGTGTTAAAGTTTCAGTTGCCTTAGTTACTATGTAACAGTGATATAGTGCTATATCTGTAGAAGTGTTATTCAAACTTAAAAACAGTATATGAAGAAGATATTAAGTAAATAATAATATACTCATAACAGCAAATTCAAAATTTGGATCGTATCCTTTTTATGTTTTAAAGTACCTAAAAACAAACAAGCTACGTGTGAAAACTAAATACTTTCATAATTCATAAACAAAATAAGAAAAAGTGATTAAAAACGAATTAAAGTACTAAAAGTGAAAAAAAAATAATAAACATAGTTTTTTTTAATATATACCCACAACGAAAATAACGAACTTTTGTAAAGACGAAGCAGATAGTATCAAATTAGGCTGCTATTACGAGTAGTAGTTGTAGTAGTACGAGTGGCGCATTCATAAGGGCACCAGTTTCGTGACGGACACTTTAGGTTTCGAGTTCGCATACCACTTCGGACATTCACTTTTTGTGATTTATATAACAAGATATTTAATAAAAAGCTTGGACAAGAATAATAAGTAATTAAATTATAGCAGCACACTGTTAATAACTTCTTACAATGAACTTCCTAGAAAATATTACACTCCGACGTACTGGTCGTACTCGCACAAAATCAGACTCGCAAAGCAATTTAAGTCAACACGATAACGAATTACTAACACAAATAATGGACGACACGGCTACTAGTGTCCCTGATATGAGTAAGGATGATTCGTATGATCAAGAATTAATAACAAATTTAAAGAAACAAGTAGAGAAATTGACTCTTCAATTAAGTAGTGCAGAGGAAGAAATTGATAATCTTACATTAGAAAACAACAATCTAAAACAGTCAAACGAGGAGCTTCAAAAGATTAATATACTTTACAAAAAAATTACCAACAGCCCTGCAAAGAAATCTAAGAAAAAAATAGACGAAACGTCACAAAGCAAGCAAACACAAACAAAGCAACTAAAGATTACTGAAAAAAAGACATTCAAAAATAAGGGCACGCAAACTGTGGTGAAAACAGTAATACCTCACTCTGAAAATGAGCACCTGAGAAGAAAAATAGTAAGATATGTATTATCAGAGAAAATAAATATAATAAAATACGCACGATTGCATAAGGTAAGATTCAAAATTCAGAAATATGTCACTATTTAATGCCATACGCTGGAATAAATAATATGATACGTGACATAGAACCCAAGCTAAGAAAATTTACTTTAGAGGACTACTGTATAATTTTTATTGGAGAAACAGACTTCAAAACGACCAAGGAATATTCGAGTATAATTACAAACATAAGAAAAGTGCTGAGTAATATTCAACATACAAATGTTATACTTTGCATGCCCACGTATAAAATATGTGCAAGTAATGTAACAATGTATAATTGGAGAGTAGAAAATTTTAATAATCTTCTTTACCAAGACATATTAGCCCACGAACATGCCTTTTTTGTTGATACAAACAAACACCTTACATAGGATTCCAAAATGTACAGAAAAAATACGGGAACAGTAAATAATTTTGGCATGCGAATAATTTTCGAAGACATCAGTGAGCTCATAAACTATGTGAATAATATTCACTGTAAGAATACATATTGTGAGCAAATTGAAGATATAAAAAACCAACAGACAACAGAGCAGTTTTTTCTATTATAATCACTTGAATGTAATACATCAAAATATTGCTGGCTTACTGAATAAAAGTAATGAGCTTACTGTGTGTCTTGAAGAAATGTCAGATAAAGATATTGAAATTGATATAATCTGTTTATCAGAACATTTCAAGATGGCGGGTCATGAAAAGCTATTGTTAATCCCCAATTACACTTTGGCAGCATGCTACTCAAGAAAAGACTGTAAAAGAGGTGGAACATGTATCCTTGTGAAGAAAGGTCACCAGTATAAGGAAATTCCAGATGTAGCAAAACTCTCCATAAATGGGGTATTCGAATGTTGCGCTATTGATTTAATTAATTACAAAACTATTATTGTCTGTATATATAGAGTACCAAAGTCTAATAAATTAACTGTATTTTTTGAACAATTGGAAAAACTATTACTATACATTTTATATAGAAAAAAAAACAAAGAGAAATGTCATAATTGCAGGTGATTTTAACACTGACTGCCTTAAGCGTAATAATACTTTAATGGAATTGGAATGTTTGCTCTTAAACTTTAATCTGAAACTGGAAATAAAACAGCCAACGCGACTTACAAGCATGACGTGCATTGATAACTTTGCACATAATCTGAAGATGTGTAAATCTGATGTAATAGACTTTAGCTTATCAGACCATACAGCACAAATATTGAAATTACCGGTTCATAAAACTTTCATAATTAACCAGTGGCAAATAAATAGACGTGACTATAGTCAAGAAAACATGCAAAAATTTAAAGCATATTTACAGTGTATATCTTTCTCTGAAATCTATAATACAGATAATCCAAACATAGCCATCAATGCGTTTATAGATACTTTTACACTCCATTATAATTTATGTTTTCCTTTTAAAAAAATTACTATTAGGACCAAAGAAAAATTGCAATGGCTAACACGTGGAATAAAAATTTGTAGCAAAAAAAGAGAGCTGATGTGGAACTATAGGTTAAACCGAAATGAAATAAATAAAATATAATTTAAAAAATATGCCAAGATTTATAAAAAAATTATTCAACTAACACAACGAGTTCAAAACAACCATAAAATAAAAACAGCGGTTTATAAATCTAAAGCTATTTGGGCAATAATAAATAGATCAAAAATGAATATGCCAAAGCATATGATCACATCCATAAAAGTATGTAATAAAACTTTAACTAGTCTACAGGAGATCACGAATGCATTTAACAATTTTTTCATAGATAAAATAAAACCAATGTCAGGAACTGGAAAGCAAGTAACTTCAAATATTGTCTATGGCACCGAGTATACCATATGATATACTTAAAATCATATCTCAATAAAAATTATAAAGTATGTTGCTTATTATATTTGTGATCATCTTAGCCACATTTTGAATATTTGTATAAGCACAGGAACTTATCCGGAAAGTTTAAAAATTTCAATTGTTAAGCCATTGTTTAAAAAAGATGACAAACTAAGTATGAACTGCTATAGACCCATTGCTCTTGTTTCTATACTATCAAAAGTTTTTGAAAAATATATATATTTAGAAATTTATAACTTTTTAGAAAAATTAAACATTCTTACAGAAGACCAAAAAGGATTCCGCAAAAATAGAACCATAAATATGGCCATTTTTGATTTTTGAAATAGAGTAATGATGAATGTTGACAAAAGGACACCAGTATGCGCGATCTACTGCGACATGACTCAGGCTTTCGATTATGTTGACCATGACATCCTACTCAGTAAATTAGAAGCCTATAGCATCAGAGGAAACGTATTAAATCTCATGGAATCCTAAACTAAAAATCGAACAAAATATACCGAAATTTTTTAAACATTAACACAAAAAAAGAAGAAACATTCAAATCAAACAAACAAATACTTAAATATGGTGTCCCACAAGGGAGTGTGTTGGGCCCCTTGTTGTTTATCATCTACATAAATGATTTACCAAGAATAACAAAACATCCAATATCGCTCTTTGCCGATGACAGTACGGTCACAATAAGTTCTATCAATAAGGATACATTTGAAACTGACATAAATAATACAATCAATTTAATAATCAACTGGTTAAATAATAATAATTTAAAAATAAATCTCCAAAAAACAAAAATTATGTACTTCCGTCAACGCTTAGCATCACAAAATATTAACATTAATTACCAAGGGACAGAAATCAACCAAATAGACACAACAAAATTTCTAGGTGTAACTATTGATAAAAGTCTGAACTGGAAAGCGCACACAGAAGAACTAAACAAGAAAATTAGTTCTTCTGCTTATGCGCTCTATAAGCTCGCATCCGTCGTAAATACCGATCCATCTTGAGGTTTGGCATCATATTCTGGGGAAATTCTACTAATAAGGAAATTATATTTAAGTCCCAAAAAAGGGCTATGTTTGGTCTTAAAATTACTGATAGCTGCAGACCATATTTTATTAAGTACAAAATTTTAAGCTTGCCCTCCTTATTTATATATGAAATAGCAAACTTCGTTCACAGTAACCCTAAATTGTTTAACAAACTATCAGACGTTACAATTCGCAATCACCGGGATAATAACAGGTTATGCGCAATTAGATCAAGAACAGCATTGATGCATAAAAGTATTTTCTGTCTGGCGCCAATAATATATAATAAAATCCCCAAAACCATCAGACAATTGCCTACTACACTTTTTAAGCCACATCTTAAAAAATATCTGATAGCCAAATGTTATTACAGCTTGCCTGATTTCTTAAATGATTGTTTATTTAAAGCTAAATATTAAATTGTGACATTTCTCTCATGTAATCTTAGGAGATGCCATTGAAATTGTTGCACATCTAGAACTAGGTCCGCAGGGTTAGTTTTTATCTTGTATAATTAATAAAATACGAAGTATTATTTTTGTACGCCATAAATGGCAAAACATGTAGCTCGTTTTAAGTTTTTTTTTTTAACACCTTTATATTTTTTTACTCATGTTTTACAAAATAAATATCTTTATCTTTATCTTAAGTAAAAGTAGTAGGAATAGTAGCTACACAGTTGTTTTTTTTAGGAGAAAATTGTAACCGGTCCCATGGGAAATTAAAAGTGTGTTTACTGTGTGTACTGTGTGTAAATTGTCTTAATTTTGTGTTTTTCGGAGTCACATTTCAGTGTGTGGCGGACTTGGGTATGTCATGTCCGCTTACAGGATCGTCTACTTTCCTTTAATATGGTCGAGTAGGATCGCCTCCTGCTGCCACTTGCGTTATACTTGTGAACAGGTGTTGCTTGTGCAGTCTGTTCTGCTCGGGTTCACTATACGCTGATAAGCTCTAAATTTATAATCTTCCTTTTTTGGGTACATCATAGTAACATTCAGTTACGGATGGGTATGTTATCGTTTTCCATTCTTTACACTATACCATTCTATACTTTTAAAACTTAATAAAAAGAGGAAACCGGCAGATTTCCTGTCGCTGTTTCTTCTGTCAGAGGACTTTTATTTCGAAGCTCTAATATGCTTAGTAAATTTAGTACGTTGTAAAACTAATGACATTTGATAAAAGAAATTTTATTTCGAAGAAATAATAATATTTCATTTCATTAGTTAAATTGACTTACATAATATTATGTAAACTTTTATTTATATAAACTATTATTTTAGTTTATACCATATATATTTTAAATTATACATACATATATATACATAAACACTCACGCCTGTCACCCAGACTTCCATTTGGCACAATCCTGACACACCTCTCTCGCCTTCTCCACATCCATATACCTACGCATACGTGCTCGTCGGTTAAGAGTACTCTTAATTTGGCCCATGTATGTCTATACATATAATAAATCTGTAGAAAATCCGTGTCTGTAATTCTAATATACTCTTGAAAAAACAAGTCCAGGAGACTAAATAAAGGGTACTGAAGCCAAATTAGTGGCTTTAGAATTTTTGTGTCTGTCTGTCTGTGTATTCAAGATTCACGCAAAAACTACTGGATAGATTTCCATAAAATTTTGTATGTACATAGTTATTAACCCTGGGCAACTTATAGGCTACTTTTTATCCGATTACGGAACTACGAAAATAAAGGTTAAGTATTTTCTTTTCTTTAGATATTAACTTTCTATTATATACTCGTATGATTATATTAGTTATAGGCGGGATGATGGGTGTTTTTTCAAATAAATGCCATATTTATAAATAAAGTTTAAAATTAGTTTTAACCATTTTGTAATAATTTGAAAGCTACGCCTAAAACTAAAACGTAGATAACGGTTTAGTTTTCAAATCAGCGCCATCTGTTTTGTGCATTCAGTACCAATAAATGAAATAATATGATTAAGTTACATTTGTTGTTTAAATAATTCGATTTAAAAATCATTTTCTTAGTTTTTTCGTTATTTCATTTTAAAAGCGTAATAATTTAAATAGATAATAGTGACGTCTCTCAAACGTATGATAATTAATATGGTTTTTAGTTCAATTAGTAATCTATATATAATCGATTAAAACTAGTCTGCCTGCAATAATTGCAAAATTTTCATTATCCTTATAATTTAATCAAAGAGATTTATACATATTATGTCGTGGTCAGGTCGTAGAATTGATCATATATTTTAAAGTAGTCTATCATTTAGTGAAATGGTGTCTTTACATGATATTTAACACTGTTTGTTACCATGTCATAATATAGCTTAACCAAATCAATGAATAGAGATCGTTTTACAATATTAATAACTAAACACAACATTGCTATTTCATGACATGGTCATATCGGCAAATAGTATTTCACCGCTAGTGGCGCTGTTAACATATTTTTAAGAAAAACAGAATTTTTAACAGAATCATCATCATCACCATCATCATTACTGCCCTTCACAAGTCCACTGCTGAATATAGGCCTCTCCCAAGGAATGCCACAAAGCACGGTCCTGAGCCACCTGCTTTCACCGACTTCCTGCATGTATTACCAGGTCCTCACTCCATCTCGTGGGGGGTCGCCCTACACTACGCCTACCAGTACAAGGCTGCCACTCGAGAACCTTTTTTAACAGAATAAATATCACTTTATGCCTTATTTTTATAATAGATAAATGTTCACGGCTTTGGGGTGGCTGTTGAGAGAGTCGACCCTAACCTTCTATCGCTGATATTACTAGATAGTATAGGCTTTCATATGTTTAATGTAATAATAGCGTCATCTACTTTCTGCTATATAAACTAATGATAAGTAACTGATAAAATTAAATTTTAGAACGCTACT